TGACTGAGGTTTTCCATTGAAGCGGAAAATGGGAAAGTCTAATGATAGCGTTTAATATGTGCGCAAGGTGTATTATAGCTTTTTTCGGTAACTGTAGAGCTACTTCTGCGGTAATCAAGTCCAGACCGGGAGATTTTTTGAGGCGGAATAGTTTGAGGTAATATTGAATTTCACCAGGCGAAACAGGTTTAGGTGCACGATAAAGTGGAAATGGGGTTGTGAGGGAGTTCGCAATATAATTTTCAAATGTATTATTAACAATGTCGTGGTGAGGTTGGAAGACTTCAATCAAATGGGAGCGGAAACGTTCAGATTTTTCAGCATCAGTTTTGCACCAAGTATTATCATGACTTTTTAGGGGGGAATTTGTGGGTTTTTGTTTCAAACAGTTTCGAGTTGCTCTCCAGAGAGAACCATTTTGCGACGTAAGCGAAGAACCGAAATTCTCATTTCTTAATTGTTTTAAAGTACGTTTGAGTAAGGAAGCAAGATTGTTGAACGCATTTTTATCAGATGGGAGACGGGTACGTTGCCAGATAGATCTGGCACGTCGTTTTTTAGCGATTAGTTAACGGATATGAGTAGGAACTGGGGGGAGTTTTGGGCATTCCCCAGTTTGGGAGACGGGTACGTTGCCAGATAGATCTGGCACGTCGTTTTTTAGCGATTAGTTAACGGATATGAGTAGGAACTGGGGGGAGTTTTGGGCATTCCCCAGTTTTTTAATAGTAGAATTCCAAGCAGCTGTTTGAATTATACTCGTAAAATGTTGAACAGCGTTTTCTAGTTCATTTGGGCATTTAAGACTAGTTTTTAGGTCGATGTTTTGGTCAATTATTTCGCGGAATTTAATCCAGTCCGTAATACCATCCGTAAGGCAAGCTTGACGGGGCCGGGGAGAAGGTTGTGCATCCAGAGAAAAAACAACCGAAGTATGGTCTGAGCATAGATCTAAGCAATTATTTATGACGTTTTGTAATCTAGTAGGGATATTAACTACAAATATATCTAAGATATCTGGGCGTTTATTTATAGACGTTGGCCAGTAAGTTGGGTCAGGGGGAGCTAGTATGGAATATTTTTTTTGATTAACTATTTGGAGTAAAGTACGTCCTTTAGGGTTAGAAGTGTGGCAGCCCCAGGATTGGTTTTTGGCATTTAGGTCGCCGCCGACTACAAAATAGTGACCTAAAGAATTAAAAAAATGTTCATATTGTAGTGGCGTAATTTTGTGTTTGGGTGGGCAGTAAGTTGCTGCAATAGTGATTGGAGTGTGATTTAATTTTATTGTTAAAATGGCAGCTTGTAAAAAGTTTTCCTGTATATTTGGACAGGGAGTAAATAGAAGTGAAGATTTAATGAGAATCGCGGCACCAGCGTGTGAGGTGTTGTCCGGGTGGCATGAATTAATTATTTTGTAACCTGGTATTGAAAAATTGGTGTTAGTTGTGAAATGTGTTTCTGAGATTAGTGCTATGTCTATTCTTTTATCATTTAGCGTCATTATAAGTTCGTTTCTGTGATTTGTTAAACCATTAGCGTTCCACATGAGAATAACCAATGATTGGGAAGTGAATGAATTATTTGAGTTACTTGACATTTTGTGCAAGAAGACGGTCGAGAACTGTAGTGAGGAGAGAAAGTAAAGGATTGATTAGTGCTTTAAATTTATTAAGAAAGTTTGAAAGTGTGTTATCGTTAATTTGATTATTAGAAGTTGGATCAGAGTTATTATTATGAGTAGCCTGTGCGTAGGTCTGAGAACGTTTTGGAGGTGTATAATCATTGACAGTTGGCTGTTGGGTAGCTTCACAATTAGTATTTTTAGTAATATTTATATTATTTACAACATTTTTATTATTTTGATAGTTACCATGATTATTTGTGGCAGGTTTCCGGAGTTGTTGAAGATCTTTGTATATTTTACAACCTTTGTAGTTGGCCGGATGGTCACTCTTACACAGGGCACATTTGGCGGGCGTGGTGGTGGATTTAGTACAGGAAGTAGAGGGGTGGTCGTCACCACAACGAACACATCTTGGAGAATATGAACAGTATTTTCTTGAGTGGCCGTAGTCTTGGCAGTTCAAGCATTGAATAATGTCTTTGCGTTTATGAGGCTCTTCAATTTTGACTTTTGTGTGAAGTAATGAAGTTACTTGAAATAATTCTGTATTGATTACTTCTGGAACTAAATCAACGAAGAACATGGGCAGTTTAATTTTTGTTATTTTTTGAAGGACGTTGACAACTTGACGAACTGAGAAACCCATATCTTCTATGGCAGTTCCAATATCTTCAGTAGGAGTTGAAGGATGTAGGTTACGTATAACTATGCGGAACGATTTTTCCTCATGTGGTTGATATGTATGGTATTGCGCATCTTTCTCTTTTAAGAGGTGTATTATTTTTCGGTACGAATCAGGGTTTGCTGTTTGGATTTTTATGACGTTGGTGGATGATTTAAATGTAAAGTTTTCCGAGCCTATTAATTCAATTAATGTGTTGCGAAAGCTTGCAAAATCAAGCAAATCTCGGACGAATATCGGAGGTGGTAGTTTGATTTTAGGAGTTTAAGCATCATTGATGTCATCAGTATTATTTATTGGTGGTGAGAGCGTGCTGATATTCTCTACGTTATCATTTGTGGCTAAAGGGCTGTATCTATTTGCAGTTACGAACATTGGTTTATTTTTTTTTTGATTCATGTTCATCGGCTTTAGGTGAAGAGAGAGTGCGTTTTTGATTTTTTTTTGATTTTTGTGTTTTGACATTATTTTCGTCCGTGTTTAAAGACGAATCGAAGACATCGCTTGACGTACTTTGCGTTCGAATTGATAGAGTGTTATTTCGATTACGAGTAGAAGGTATATTTGTTGGTTGTTTTGTTTTCTCGATAAAATTCATATTTGATTTGGGCGAACTCATTACTCTAATTAGAAGATAAGACGCCGCGATGCGACGCAACGACGAACGTAATGACTAACGACCGCCGACCTATGGTCGGGGCGTCCGGTGACTTTTATCGGTAGGACAGTACCTACTTTATATTTAATCATAGTGTATAATATATAATTATATTTACCCGTTTTTTTGAGTTAATATGAATATTTGGCGTTTACCCACTCTGATATGGGTCAAGAACTATTGGAAATTTTTTTACGTATACAACGATATAAAATTTGTGTCATTTGATAACTAGGTCGATAAATTACAGAACATATAAGAATGAGCGAAATATTAACGTGTGGAACGAATGACGTTCGGCGCATGACTACAATTGTTAAAATTAGTTTTTATTCTACAGCACGGTCTTAGAAGATTGTGAAGACCGTGCTCTACAGTGTCAAAATACTACTTGGTCGATTGAGAGTGAGCATAAGTGATACAGGTTTATAAGCGAATATATTGAATCATTTGTTAAAGATTCAACCCCTGTCGCGTAAGAATTATAAGTGAATCATATGAAGTTTGGAATGAGTCGGCCTAAGTTGTTTGAACGATATTGAACGAATCGTTCTCACCTGAATCATTGGTATAGAAAACACGATAATAAGAAATAAGAATATGAACTTTTCAGTTTTTCGAATCAACGTGTAATTTCAATTTACATCTCGCGTGTCTATTTATTATTAGTGATGCACAACGATATTTTTTTCGTTATCGATATCGGTTCATTGATATCACATCGCGATATCGAAAAACGATATATCGATACAATTTAATAATTTATAGACTAAAAAAGAATTGATGACGGTTTTTTTTTTTTTGGAATTAATATAATAAATTATTATACCTACCTTCTTATAATGTAATTGTCTAAGTTCTAATAATGCAAATGGCTGTTCAATGGATGAACGATCTGTAAATCTCTCCTGAATTATTATGGTTTGAAGTTATGTCGAAGTCAATTCTCACATTGCGGAAAAATATATACAAATAACATGAAGTAGAGTTTTGAACATAGTATAATACGTAATTAATGAAACAAAATGATGAATATAAAAATATAATTAAATATAATTATTATAACTCAAAATCCAAGCATAGATGCCGTAGCTTAGATTCAGAATTAAAATTGAAGTTGAAGTTATCAAGATTATTATAGAACCAAAGTATTTAGTAGATTAATTATGAATTCACAATCTTGTCCAAAGCGAACTATAAGATAATTGTTGAATTTAAATTTAATTTTTGTATAATTGTAATTAAAATTTTATAAGTATTATACATAGTTGACAGTGATTTTTACAATAAAGTAATTAATAAATTGTAATCTATCAATTACTTTGTTGATGATTGTTTTAAATTTGTAATTTATACATTATTCTACTTGTTAATGTGTTTCGTTAAATTTAATCGCTCTAATTAAAATAGTTCGCCTTTTAATGATATAATTCCAGAAACCTAAATGGTCTAGAGCTAAATTAACGTCATATGATATGCTTCAAATATATCTGTTGTATAATTTTGCGTTGTATGAGTAGGTATTAAATTCCAAAGTATTTTTTTATTGAGTTTAATATACGAGTGTATACAATAAACATGTATTTATGTACGGCTTTATATATTTAATAATATTTTATAATTTAATGTATTCTTAACTTTGATGTCATAATAACCAAAAACATTAAATAGGAGCTCATAACCAAAGATCTATTACTCCTTACTTATTGACATAGTAATTCAGTAGTTTCTTTAGTATGTTTTTACACTAATAATATCAAATAGTATAATAATTATACCAAAAATAATTTCGCCAGAAAATTAATAGGTAGTATTATCATGTAAGTATATTGTACAGGATTTCCGGGATACGTTGATTTTATATTACACTCATTCGGTATATCAATATCAGTTGACAACATTGTAGGTACCTAAGTGTACCATACTGTATAAACAAACTATTGTCCTAATAAAATTACAAGTTGGTGCTTTATGAAATACGCATATTAATTACTACGCGACAAACGTAGGTTTGGACGCAGTAGTATAAATCCATTTATCGAATCGTGTATAAAGTCAATAGGTCGATGAATACGATTGACCTTCAGGAGTGTTATACGTCCACACAGTAGTTTGTCGGACTTCGATAAAGTATCTACTAAATCCTAATATTAAGGTAAGTGTAATAATTAATATTATATTTATTATTTAGGTAAGTTTAATATTTATTATTCTTCTTTACTCATTTATGGTCCATAAAGTCATGTGTTTGGTACACTTCAACATGATAATTATGGATAATTTACTAATGCATACATTATAATTTTTTTTTTTTGTTTTCGCAGGATTCAATTTTACGCCGAATTTATGTTATATAGTTATATAGTTAATATATGTTATAGAGTATATTTTTTGATTCTAATCACTATTTTTGAAGTTGAAAATTCTGATTTTTGTTAATTGACATGGCAAACAAAGATACTAAAATACCTAGAGAAACACATTGGCCTAGTGTTCTTTTTTATTTGTATCTCCATTTTTCTGCTTTTATTGGACTTTACTTAGGAATTTTTCAAGTTAAATGGACTACAATATTTTATAGTAATTATTTTATTTTATACATGAATTTATATATTATTATTTAAAACAACAACATTTATTACAGCAATATGTCTTATATATCTATCAGTCCTCGGCTTGACTGCTGGTGCTCATAGATTATGGGCTCATGCAAGTTTCAAAGCCAATATCTTTCTTAGACAATTCTTAGCTTTTGCACAAACTTTGATATGCCAAGTGAGAATAATATCTTACAAATATTTTAAGACTTTAATTGTATTTTCATTTTAGGGACCAATTTACGAATGGGCAATAGAACATCGATTGCACCATGAATATTTTGGTACAGAGAAAGATCCATTTAATTCAAGTCGAGGTTTTTGGTTCACATATTTTATAAACAAATTGGTGTCGAGTCATCCTGATAACGAGAATCTATTAAAAGCTATCAATGCTAAAGACTTAGATCAAGATCCTGTTGTAATGTGGCAGAAAAGGTAAATGAATAAATTTTAATTTATTTTATTAATTATTTTACTTTTATAATTTACAATAGACTTTACTGGTTGCTGGCTCCATTGCTCATGATAATCACTGTGGTTTTACCGTCCGAACTCTGGGATGAGTCACTTTTTTGTTCTATATTCTTTGTTGGTTTCTTTAGAATCACAGTTTCTTTGCACTATAGTTGGATTTTGAATGCAGCTACTATCATTTGGGGATTAGAACCACTGAACAAGTAATTTTTTAGATTTTAGATTATTAATATGAATCTTAATATATGGTAGAATAAATTAATAAAACTAATTTAATTATGAAAGAATTGTATAACTAGATATTATTTATAATGAAATATTATTACTAATAAAAACTTTCTATAATCAAAATCCAGCAATGCTAATCAATGGACAATAGTAACTACCTTTGATTATATTAAAATTGCATTAATTTTAATTATTTAATTATTATATTAGTACAAGTTAGAAAATAATTTTGTCTTCTTAATTAAAAAATAATATTGCACATTGAGGTTTTAAATATTTCAAGACTTAACTATTAGACATAATAAGATTTTTTAATCTTAATTCTTAAATAGTAAATACGTGTCATAAATATTTATATATATATATATTAAGATTTTTTGATGATAAAAGATTTCTCTAAGATATTTTAATAATAGAAAATTTAAATAATTGTATAAGTACCTATGGAATATTAATATTTATATATGTTATAAATTATTCTAATTAAATAAATGAATCAATAAACAATTTCATACGCTAAATTTTACTAATATGGGTTGAACATATACTAATAGCAATCATCCCCAACCCAAAATGATTTAAAATAGACTTTATGGCACAATAATATATTACCGTACACTAGGTGCATGAAAAATAATCTAAATTATAATATTAACTAATATCTATTAATACCAATTAATTTAACCAACATCAGTCCATAATACCTATATCAACGTTCAATAAACACCTAAAACACCTAACATAACATTTTTTACGGGGGTTAACTGACTATAACGTTTGCGCAACTATCAATAAATAACCTTTGCAGTACAAATATTTAATAACAAGTGTGCTAGAGAGTACAGTAATTTACACTCTAAGCTATAAAGGAATATTGATTAAAATATAAATTTATTTTATATATTTTATGTTCATAGTATAAAGCATTCCCCCCACAATACACTTAGGAACCACGCCCGCCTGTATCTGCTTCTCAAAGTACTTTTAAAAATGTATTTATATGTTATGAACAGTAAAAATGGCTAATGGTAACAGGTTAAATATTCGACTTAAACCTATAGTTAGATATATTTACTTACTTTTATGGCTTATACATTATTAATTTATTAATATGAAATTAAATAGATATTTAATCTAGAAAATATTTATATTCATCCCATTTTTTTGAATATTAACGCATTAGTATATCTATAATATATAATAAAAAAAATACCGCACATTTAATTTTTATGACTGAAAAATAATGTTTATTTACATACTTTAATATTGATAAAATAATATTACTCCTTTAATAATAAAGACATTTTTTTTTACACAGGTACTCCATTCAAACAAATCTCGTATTTATTTTTAATAAAAGTTTATGGCCTCAATATCATTATATATTACCATGGGATTACCAATGTGGAGAGTATGGTAGCTATAATAATGGGTGTATCACAGCTCACATAAGAGTGTGGGCAGCATTACGTTTAGTGACTGACTTGCGAACAATAGATACCGAAGGGATAAGAAAAGCTATGATCGAAGCAGCCACTACAGGGCAAGATTTTAACGAATGTGTGGAAAAATATACATTCGATCCAAATCTTTTGAAAATAAAGTGTGAATTAGATTTGGAAAGGATACCTTGTTAGTTATTAATATAACTAATACATTATAAAATTATTTCTGTAAATCTGTTCATTGTGCTATTAAAACATTATCATCATCAATATAACTTAAAAAAAATATGTATGATGAACCAAAATATATGATATTTATAACTTAATGATATGAATAATATGATTTATTTTTATTGTATACAATTATATGATAAAAAGAAAAGCATTTTTATTTGCACTTATGTTGTAAACCTTCAGTGTGCATTTGTCCAATTGTATAATAAGACATTACAGGACCTTTTATACTGGGAGTAACGTCTGTGCATGTGTCTCTTCTGAAAATTCAGGTAAATGATAGATAAAGCTTTTAAACTTTCAAATATGCGATGATAACAATTTGTAAAGTTCTCAGGTTCGTCCGCGATCAAAGGGGGAAATTTTTTTTTTTCAATCCTGTGGTTGGTTTCAATGATATATTCGAAACAAAATGAATAAATGACATAAACAATTAATTTAAATTTATTCTTCAGAATAAATTGTCACTGTTTATAAACTATAATTTCAACATAAACTAATTTAAAATAATATAAACCTTAGAAAATATTTGAAAACAATTATTAATTTTTATCTTAATGTATGAAAAATGTTTATAGTATTTTATGTTATATTTGGTTTTTTTTTTTACATTTGAAACCATAAATAACCATAAATATTTTAAAGATAAAACATATAAAATTGTAGACAGTTGGTTTTGAATATGGTATAAAAAAAAATAGTAAAGTATAATATTTACGAATAGGTAGGTATTTAAACTGTGAAATCATCAATTTAAAATTAAATTTTAGCAAAATATTAGCCATTAGTCAACAAATTTTAAACCGTTATTGTACAACACTTATTCAACTGTTTTCATAACGAAACATTGCATTTTAATTTAGTTATTTAGTATGTAAAGAATTCGATTTTTAAAAAAAATATATATATTTATAATCACCATATATATATATGGGTGACCGGGGTATGATGAAACATCTAACTTGTAAGTAATTTTCATAGTATTTTTCATATATATTAATTACTATTATATTACTAATATATATTCAGAAATATAAATATAATTTTTATATTTACTAAATAATTAACTAAATTATTTTAAAATTATTTAAAATTTAAATATTTTAACTTTTAAAGAACTTATCTTTAATTTCCAAAAAAGTAACTTTTTCCTATTTTACCTCATCGTTGAGGTATGATAGAACATGGTGTGAGGTGATATGGGCCAAATAAATGTATGCAGTGTTTGAAGTCTAAAAGATTGAATTTTTTTTTGAAATATAATTATTGATGATAATTATTTATTGGTATGGATATGGTATGAGTCTGGTATGGTATGGTAAGTGAATATTATTTGTTTTACTCATTATTATAAATGTTTAAAGGTGAAGATAATTAAGATACGTAAAATAAATATACACTAAATGTATTGATCAAAAAAGTCTATTTATTACTTAAACATATACTTAACATTATTATAAAATTAAAATATTTTAAATGATTATCTAAATTTTATTTTAAGAGTGCTTTTATGTACAGAAAAATTCTCACAGGTTTCTCTAGTGTTCTTTTATGAACAATTATAGCCTTTTTCATATTATTCGAATCCCAATTTTGTCTATTAGTTGTTCTTTTTATAGATCGATACATTTTGGTTATTTTATGTAAATTTAAAGCTTCAAACAAAAAAAATGAAACCTGTTAATTATAATTTTTCATGATTACCAAGCTTAATTAAATTGTAATGATGAAATAAGATTATAATTATGATATGTACAACCATGCTAATGTACATAAAATATATAAACAATATAATTTTTGAATGTGGATAAAAACAATATAAGACATTTGTGGCAAGATGGGATACTTCATCTTGCCCCAAAATGAATTTCCCATCTTAACTCAAATTTTGTTAGTTCATATAATGCTATTAAATAATATATTGTCAAAAATTAGTGAAAAATAATCACATATGCAATGCTCACAAAATTTACAACATTAATAACGTATATTAATTTTATTTTAAATTATTATAAACGAAAATAATTTACATACCTTGCACATCAATGACTTTTTGTAAATTTTATATAGAAATAGTTTGAATTATGACAAACGTGTTTTAGTGTTTTTATATTATATTATCGTTGATATTAAAATAACAACATACAGTAAGATTAACGTAAAACACATGTGCGATGAAGAAATTAAGATAAATGCAAATGTTTACGACTTACAGTTAATTCCCATCTTACCTCACAACTTCTTACACCGATCTCCCCTTTATATATATGATATTTTCAATTTTTCAGAAAACACTCGAAAAAAAAAAATTATTTAAAATGAACATTGTTCGTATACTATAGTATTTCTACTTTAAAAAATTGAAATGTATTACATATATTTTTAAGATATAACTATGTATAAACTATAAAACTCAAAACCGACAGGAATTGATCAATGATTTCCAATAAAACAAATTTTAAAAAACTGCTCTTAAAATGTAATAAATAATAATAATAAAAACTTAAAAATCTAGAATTATTTAATTTAGTTTTTTAATATGTAGATATTTAGAATAGATTTTTTTGAGTAAATATTTACAGAATAGTTTGATTTCTAATTACGGTTTATTTTATACAGGTGCACTAATGCATTACTAAAAATAAATATAAGAAAACAATCAATAATTACATTTGAAAATTAAATTAGAAATATAGAACTTAATCAGAAAAAAAGTCTTGTAACTACAATAAAACTATATAATGTCATCATAATAGGTACCATAGTACACTTTTTAAATTTTAAATTAAAGTTTTATATAATTCTTAGAAAGTAGAAAATAACTATTATTTTAATTTGTTTGTGTGATTCATATATTAATATAATGATATAATGTTGATTAATAACAATTTAATTTTAAATTGGCCTTTGGCTTTACGTTTATGATCTTTATCGAATATTATGACTTGATTTCGTATTTCTGACAATATAAAAAATACGTTTTAGGTAGATTTTTTAATTTAGTTTTTTATAACAGAGGTTGAGGAAGGTTTGTTGAATACGAGTAGTTGGGTATTAATTTTAATATTCCATCACCACAGTGAAGTTTTATTATATTTGTAATGTACCATCGGTATTACTTATTTTACAAAGAATTATTTAATCTTAAATTAAGTACCTAATAAAACGTTGTCTACTGTATAAATACAATTATTTATGTTTTTTTTTTTTGTTAACATTTTATAACGTCATATTAAACGTCACAATAAATTAGTGATTTATTTTTTCTATTAAATTATTTAATTTTAGAATAATAATAAAATTTAAAATTAGTTTATGATTATTTTATATGAATATTTGTCCGATATTTAACTTTTGAATAAAAGGAAAATCACAAATAGTGTAGTTACATTCTCAAAGAAAATTATTGATACTTTTAATAATAATAATTTTTTTTATCTGAATAATGAAAACAACAGAACTTAATTTTTTCCAATTAATTTTGATTTTGTTCAAATTAATTGTGCATGACTTAAAAATTAACGAACTCAATAAAAGGTTAATGAAATATTATTTTATTAAATCTTGAAATCGTAGATTGCATTAAACTAAATATTATTTATTTTGACCTTTAACTAAACTTTGCTATCAATAAATTATGTACTTTATTTCGAATGGTTCAAGATCAACAAATTGAATTCTTAATATTTGCATTGGAAAATTAAACATAATTAGGTTATCTGTTATTATTATTTGTACTAATTACTTTGGTAACTGCGATTTATATCAATGCCCTTAAAATATTTGAAATTTTAAGAAATTAGTTATTAAGTATTTGTTCATTGTTTTTGAAAAATACGAGTATTTAGATTATGAAGTATTTTTGAAAATCAATATTCTTGAAAATGTATATTTGTTTTATTAGATACTTTATAATTTATAGAATTTTGTATTTGTTCAACATTTTATAATTTACACTAATTCCAGAGCTACGTTTAAGTTTTTAAAAAACGTTAAATTATATATTTAAGTTTAAGTTAAAGTTTCTTATTAACAATTGAGGTATAATATAATTTAACTGATTCTAAATACATATGGCTAGTATTATATACAACCATATTTTATGTTATAATTGCTTACTATGAAAAAAAAAACATACCATTTACCTATTTTGTTGTAACTATGGATACCTACATACACGGGTATTGATTAACTATTATATGTTTATTTGTAAATTTTGATAAAAAGTTGTATAATTATCAAAACAAACCTTTACCAATATCGAAAAGATGAAAGCAACTGAAGAAATAAACGGAAAATTTAGGTAATAAGTAATAATTAATGCAATAATTATATCTTAATAGTTTAACTTTATAGTCTAATGAGGAAATTTATCAGTAATTGGTAGTTTTTCATGGTTTATTATTTATCATTTGTATGATGCTAAACGATGCGCTTAATCTAATAATATAATACGTTATTGACTCGCATTTTACATTGTTTAGTCATATAATTATATAAATAGACATATAATACAAATATAATTTTTACGCACTGGGTATTTAAACAATTTTTAACTTTTTTTTTAACTTAAAAATTATAATTTTTTTGTTATTGGTATTGGTAGGTATAACCTTATTTAATTTAATATTTATAAAGAATCAAATATTTAGACTAAAATTATTACTAGATATTATTTTTTTGGTAGGTCCGGAAATTTGATGTTTTTATGTTACTAAAAATCTAAAAAAAATAGAATTAAAAAAATTAAAAAAATTATTTTATTATAATTCTATTTTACCTCTAATCTGTTGCCTAATAGTATAAATTCGTTGTATTTAATCTTAACCAGGAAAAATAAAATATTTAATTGTTTTATTATTGTGTATGTATATGTAATATAATATCACTGTAGTAAAATTATTGAATATAATAAACGGTTTACAGAATGACAAAAGAAACGCTGAAAGATATTTGCAAACAAAATAAGTTATATAATACTCCCAGAAATAATGATGTACTATATCTTCATTTTAAAGGTATTTGAAATAAATAATAGAAAATAAATATTCATTTATAAATAACTTATGAAAATATTATTGTTTATAGGTTTTTCAAAAATCGAAAATTTAGATGAATACACCGGGTTAAAAAGTTTGTGGTTAGAAAACAATTGTATAATGAATATTTCTGGACTTGACAATCAGACGGAGCTAATTTGTTTATACTTGCATAATAATGGCATATCAAAAATAGAAAATTTAGATTCTTTAGTTAAACTAAATACGATCAATTTGAATCATAATTTTATTAAAAAAATTGAAAACTTGGGTGTGTACTAAAAAATCTTAAAAAAAAAACTTGCTGACATTTTTTTTTTATAATTTTAACATATTTTAGATATGTTACGAGACCTAACTTCGTTGACCTTGTCTCATAATAAACTTTCCACAGCGGATGAAATTGCTCATTTGGCTGATTGCAAAACTTTGTCTGTGGTTGATCTTTCATACAATTACTTAGATGATCCAGATATTGTCGAAGTAAGTAATTTTATCTTTACCGTGTTATATGATAATTTTTATCTACTAATCAGCTACATTAATTTTATAATATACAGATACGCTATCCAATTGTAAAAATTGGTAATGGTTATGTGGACGCAGCCACTAGACCGCGTTATAATCGTTTACATTAAATTTGATAAAAACATATTTTCAACTATATAATAGTATTAATAATTGTTGTTTCTATTGTTGAAATTCTATTTTTATTCAGTTGAATGCTAAAGATTATAGTTACGTCTGATGGCTGCGTCCATATATAGCCGTTATCAATTCTAACAATCTGCAAATAAAATATAAATTATAAAATCAACGCTAGTTATATACATAGATAATATGTCAATTTTATTAGGTGTTTGCCAAGATGGAATCTTTGCGTGTTTTATCTTTAACTGGAAACAGTGTTATTTCAAAAATAAAGAACTATCGAAAAATATTAACCTTAAAATGTGTAAGTTGTACCGTCAACGTTGTGTTTTCGTATTTTTGACGTATTTTCATCAGATATTAAAAATTTCCTATTATTTTATTATTTTGTAAACATTTTATTTTATATGTAGTACATATTTTATTATAAATGTTAAATCGAGTTTTATTTTATAGAAGGACCTTCTCAATTTGGACGAAAGGCCCATATTTAAAAAGGACCGATTATGCACAGAAGCTTGGTGAGAATTAATTTTAAAATTGAAAATAAGTATGGGATATTAATATTTGTAAATATTATTTAGGAGTGCTGGTGGCATTGAAGCTGAGCAAGCCACGAGGGCTAAATTAAACGAAGAAGAACAAAACGCGATTTTTGATTCTGTAAACGCGCTAATTAGTTTACGTCAAAAACGTAATAAACAAGTAAATTTGTCAATTCCCAAGGGCAACGATGATAATTGTGTAGTCGATAAAAATGTCTTAACTGATAATTTAATCATTTCTAAAGATTATTACGATGAATTTGGTTCTTCAGATGATTCTATTGACGAATCAGATAAACAAAATCGATTGGCACACGATATTAGTAGTGATAGTGAAGATGATTCTTCTGCCAATGAATCACTTAAGACTAGTCCGTTGATATGCGAAATTAAAAGCGGCAATGAAGATGATTCTGAGGATGACGGTTTAGTTCGCTCAATCAATCAAGAGTTACAGAAACCTAGTGTCACCCTAGAGATTACACAAAAAGAAGGTAATAACAAATTTCGAATTGGTCACAATGATACCGAGTCAGAAAGTAGTGGCGATTTGTCAAATGTACAAAAAGAAGAATTTTTGGAAAATAAAACAATAAATGTAGCAACTGAAATGTGTCCTGAAAATGTTCAAATACATTACCCACCTAATATAACTGATGATATTAGATTTATTGGCAATGAATCAAATCAAGGAAACGATGACAATTTTGGGGAAAAAGTCTTAGTTTTTAAAAAAAAAATTAATGATGAAGATAGAGTGGAAAAATTAAATAATCTTGAAGTTACTAATGATAATATAGGTATAGAAAAGGAATACAATTTATCTGTTACGTATGAACCTAACACTGATGTAAATGATATTTCTATTAAGCTTCCGTGGAAACAACCGAACAATAATGAGTTTCACATTAGAAAAAGTTTCAAATAAAACCATCAGGAATTGCATTTATGCAGAAATATATAAACATTTTGAACAATATTAAGATAAAATATTTACAATTATAATTACTTTAAATAAACTATGTTTAATTTTTTCAGTTATCCAAAAAAAATCAAAAATATTGAAAATTAAAATAAATTATTTCATGTCATTAATTGTTGCTACTTTATATTAATAAGGTTTTAATTTTTTGAAATACGTAGAAAAATATGATATAGATATAGAGTATAATATAAAACATTATAATTGTACTATAAATTATTGTTAATTTTAATTATTGTCGATTAATGCACAAATTCTTGATCTTATTATTATTTTTTATTTTAACAATTTACTTCTGTTCACTTAATAATTAATTTGCAATTAATTAATTTAATAAAAATTATGTAATGAATAAATGAATAAATAATAAATAACTAATTTTTTAAATTCAAGTATGTTCTGAAAATAAATTATTGAGTGGAAAAAAGTAAATGTAAATTAAATCTATAATATAAAAATGAATCGATGAATGTGTTGCAAAGCGCAAATCTCGAGAGCAGCTGAACCGATTTCGCTAATTCTTTTTTTTTTTTATAATACTATTTGAAGTACGAGGATGGTTCTTACGGAGAGAAAAATTTAAAAAATTGCCTGAAAAAGTCTAAAAACAACACTTTCCTATATTCCCATATATAAGATTCGTATTAATACTTAAAAGTCAATATAAACTTTTAATTTAAGTTTGAATTTAACCATAAAGTTTTATATTAAAAATATATTATAAATTATAAATAATATTAAAAATAATAATCCATATTACATTTACTTAAAAATTTAGAAATAAAACTTTTACCTTTATTTGAATCAACTTTTTTAAAATAGTTTAGTAAACTATTATTCAACATACAAATTCAGATTCCTGTCACAACTACAATAGTTTATATCATTTTTATAACAAACTTTTTAAGAGCGTGATCGGCGAACATTTTAATACAAAAACAATAATATATTTCCAGACGATATAAGTATTTAACCAATAACCATATTATCATGGAAAATGAAATGGAATGTTATCTAACCTGTAGTATTATGGTTAGGTTAAACAAAGCCTGTTATACATATATATATATAAATTATTTTATATATCTATGTGATAAGGCAAGCATATAATCACTTATTTAACATTACTCAAAAACAAATTGCCTATGGTAAAATGTAAATTGTCTGTGATAAAATGTCACTTGAAATGTAAACGTCTCTTTGCTACGCATCTATAATATTACTAAATCTAAAAGCCACAAATTTAAAAAAGTTTTGTGTGTTAGTGACCTACTAAATATGTATCCTATAAGGCAGCGGACAAATTTAGGCACAAGAACCCGAAATGCAATGAATCAAATTAATTATCAATATAATCGTACTGTCCAGGAACGTGAAGATCCCAATGAACGTGAAAGAATTCGATTAAGAAAGGCCCGTGAAGCGCAACATTCGACTAATAATGGTACAAGTTTGAATCGTGCTGCTTTCTGTTACGATATGTCAATTGATTACAGAGCCTACAAATTATATAGAAGTGCATGTCAAGTTATAGCACGTACAATTATGAAATTTGCAAGTGCCTTTTTTTGCTTTTTTCAGCAATTTTAAAAAAAAATGCTTATTTCCAGTATTTCTGATTATTTTTGCTTATTTGACCAGTTTTTTTACGTTTTTATAGTTCATCTCCTGTAAAGTAGTTTTTGATAGAATTAAAAATAAAAATAATTCTTATCTTATCTACTTTGTCATGGAGTTCGTCGCCGTCCGAGGCATCGTTATAGGGTTAACAAAGATATTCCAACGCTGAAAATAGAACTGAGTGTCAAACGTTAGAATGATCAAAAACAGAAAGAATAATTTACATTTTATTTTTCAGAAAAATCCATATAATCCTTAAAGCCTTGAAAGTGAAGATTTATTTTTATTTTGTTTGATTTTTTAGGCAGAATTTTATAGTTTTTTTTTTAATAAATATTTTTGCTTGATTTTAATTTTTTTAAATGCTTATTTTAGTGCTTATTATGATGTTGTTAAACTCTTTTTAAGCGCTTATTTTAATGATTTTAAGTGCTATAAGTCCTAAGCCCTAGTTATTAGTTACTATTTAGTGCCTGTACTCTGTAGTGTATTCGTTATCCAACCATTTTAACAGTTTAATTTAAAAGTTATTCATTCAATATGAACTCAGAATGTTCAATAGATGAAATTGAAATAATACAATATTAATTATTATTAATTATATTTATGTTTTTCAAAAAGAAGTTGATGGTGGGTTAGAGCAGGGATGGCAAACCTTTTGAACATTGTGTGCCCAAAATTACCTTTTTATATATACATACATATATATATATATAGAGCATTCCATGAAAAAAATATTAAAAATATTATATTTTGTTATATTATAATTTGATTGTATAATTAATGTATTAGTATAAAATGGTTAGTTTAGGTACAAAATAATAATAATAATTATAATAATATTGCTTTGTTAATTATTTATATTATATTATATTATCCTATAGGTGCTATAATATTATTTAATATATAATAGTAAAAAATTTCGCGTGCCATCTCGGGCACGCGTGCCATGGATTTGCTATCCCTAGGCTAGATCATTGTAAAGGTTGTAACGACAAATCATCTAAAATTAAAATTTTAAAAATATCAACAATATTCTCATAATGTATTTATATGTATATATTATATATGTAGCATATGCAATCAAACGTTAAATTTTAATGTAATAAGCTTGTACATTGATTATTAATTATTATACTTTATTATGTTATATGAATTTATATTCGATATCAATTGTCCTATTATTGGGTGTCAAATATCCTAGATTCAATAATAATATAATGCGGTAATTCGCACACCCGTGTATAAAATAGAAATAATAACAAGAGTATGGCAAATAGCACCCACGCAATAAATATAAATAGTATAATTATATAAATAAATAGTTATAACAAAAAACAGCAATTCGTGCATATATAAATGAAAAAATTGTTCGCAACGACGTTACGGACTATCTCAAGACGACGTACTGAGAAAGACAAAGATTGCGGCGGCCGTGTTAAGGCGGCAGATAACGCGCCGATACCTGATTTGCATATTATACGGTACAATTCACAAGACACAAAATATAATCAAAACAAAATTGGAAATGTAACTTTAAAAAATGAAAATGGTTACATTTCTGTCAATCACTCGATTGGACGGGTAGTAAATAATGTGGAAGAGTTGATTTCTGCAGTTTATCCTGACATTTTTAATCTGTCCAATAAATCTTATCAGTGGTTATGTGAAAGAGCTATTATCTCTCCGAGAAATGTAACAGCAGAAGAAATCAATGATATCATCCTTCTAAAATTCGATGGATACTCAGGTGAATATCTGTTGATACAGTTACATCAACAAATGCTATTTATTATCCACAAGAATTTCTCAATTCTCTTTCTCCTTCGGGATTTTCTCCTCATAAGCTAAAATTAAAAATTAGTGCTCCAATTACATTATTACGTAATCTTCAACTATCGAACTTGTAAAACAGTACTGGATAACAAATAAAATCGTTGCAAAATAATATTATAGAAGCCGTTTTTCTTACAAGGCCAGCAAAAGGAGAAATTGCATTTATTCCAAGAATTCCAATGATTCCATTTGACTTGCCGTTTTATTTCAAACGGCTTCAATTCCCTGTTAAAGTTTCTATTGCAATTACGATGAACAAATCTCAAAGTCAGACATTCAGATACGTTGGCGTAGATTTTCGAACAGTGAGCTTTTCACATGTACAATTTATACAATTATACGTGGGGTTTCGAACTGGGAACCCGAATCATCTTATGATTTTAATTTTAATAGGAGATAAAACAAAAAACGTCATATTTCCAGAAGTTTTATAAAATTCCTTATTAACTATAAATTACTCAGCATTTCTTTTGTATTTGTATTCATTTTTAATAAAAATATATTTGTCATTAATCCCGTTAGAAATATTTTAATACGTTTTAATTAATCGTTTTTTATATTAACTTGCCGATATTATTTAAAGATATAATTTGAATAAAAAATTCTATATATCATCCGAAGGCAAATTAAACAACCAATCACGGGTGAAGCCGTGACGGGTTGGCTAGTAATAAATAAAAATAAGATTAAGGTTTCATGCATTATTTGAGTTAATTGAGTATCAACAAATTTTTGGATCTTCAATCAAACATTCATTATCTAATGATTTAATCATGTCTTTTATGTATTCTGTTTCTATTTTGTCCATATCTTCCAATTTTTCCTATAAATAAATTTGAAAATATTTATAAAGAAAAAGTGAAAGATGGTTAGCACTACCTATTCTATAACTAACGGCAGTAACTCATGAGGTATTGATGTAACAACATACCCCTTATCAAGGGCGTTCGTAGGAATTTGTCAAGGGGGGGGCGTTTAAATTTTTTAATTTTTGTTTCATTATCTAATTAGTGATAAAGTATCTTATTGTTTTTGACGTGTTTTCTATCATATAGATAGGGAACGTAAAAAATTAAATTATTAATTATATGTATAGTTAGAACGTTAGAATTTAATCTTACAGTATTAATTTTAATTAATTTAGGTATGTGCAACTTTAAATCAACAAATGCATTTTTTTTATATAAATAAAATAAAACCATTGATTTGATCATTTTAGATTACTTATACAATTAAATGTTTCTAGATAATTTAAAATAAATAAAGAAATACCAATTACCAAACCATTTGATAATTACCAACTTTAAATATTCACATATAAAAGTTGAAACAGTTCATCGAAAACCGATGACTTAAGAGGGCGCAACAATGAAAAAAATATGTAATACACCCATAAAGATCCGCATAACATTAGTTGACTAAGTGTCCACCGTGACACACAACGTTTCAAAAAATGTTTTTAATTTAAAAAAATATTTATTTTGTGATATTTTATACTACTTAATGGTTGTGATAATTGACCCATGAAAAAGCCAAGGGGGGGGGGCAAATTCCCGTACTTGCCCTCCACCCTTTCGACGCCCTTACCTCTTATCCCCAAAAAGTGGTTTAATTTTTTCATACACTCTGAACCCATCGTATTTATTATTAATATCGTATCTATTAATTTAATGATGTACTCACTGCTACTAGAGAAATTATTTTCTTTTGATTTTCAACTGTAACTTCTAACTTTGTAATATACGGAATAAGAATTGTTAGCTAATTGATAAAAATATAAACATTATAAATTATGAGGTAATGTGTGCTTCACTCTACCACAATATTGACTGCGAAAATATTAAATACCTTGTCGGTTATAAACTCATTGACTCGCGTAATATAATCTTCACAATAATTAATGTGATTCTCTTGATGCGTGACGCGTTCTTCCAGCGTTTCGACTTCTTTATCTTTACTACTAGCGTACGCCTTTAATTCTTCGATTTTGTATTTATATTTACTGGTCTGTTCATCAAAATATTTTTGGTTTTTGGATATCTGTATGCAATGTTGTTCTTTCATATAATCTAATAGTTTCATAATTTCTTTCATAATGTGCTTGTTTTCACATGCACCTTCGACTAAAGTTTTTAGGTTTTTCATTTCTAACATAAATTGACCCATTTGGTTGTCAATTTGGGTAATTGTGGTTATGAGAATTTGAAAATTTTGAAAATTTTCCATTTCCTTACTGATTTTTCTGTTGCACAGCTTATCAATGTCTGTTTTGATTCTAAAATAATGAACTAGTTAAATAGTAGTTATACATGGAAGCTGGGAAAGAAAGCTGAAGATTGAGTCTTAAAACTTTAAACTCAACCTAGTTTTATTTTTATTTTTTATATTGAAAACGACAAACCACGCATGTCTAATGGAAAAATCTCTTTTTATAATAATTACATAAAATGTTTTAAATCCAGATAATTTACAGTTTTAAATAATTTTGACAGATGTTATGAGATTTAATTGACAATATTATAATAATAATATTAATATTAATAATAAATAAATTAATAATATTAATAATAAATTAATATTAATTAATATTATAATAATTATAAACTAAAATTAAAAACACAGAGCTGAGGCTCCACTTTATTGAATATCCACCTACTCTATATAAATACCTCCACTGAAATTAATACAATACTATCACCAAGGTTCGGAACTTTATGCGTCAAAAAGTAAGAAAAAATGCAAAAATATAAAACTGACATAAATAAAGTAAATGAGGAAATTAAATTAAAAAAAATAAAATAAACGCTGTACACTTGTGTATTGTTGTGAGTTCTTGATTAAAAATATATAAATACTAATAACTAACACTTTATATGATGGTTAAATAAAAAGGTCTTGATAAATTATCTTTTTTCAAAAGATATAAAATTTAGAATTTTGGTTGTATTAGGTATATCTAATATTTTTTACTTAATTATAAATTTGTTTCGTTAAATATGTATATGAAATATGCATATAAAAGTTCTTAAACCCAAAATATGCGAATTCCTACAAAATATAGCGAAATATACAAAATTATGCAACAACAATTTTTGCATTTGGAATCTGTGTACTATGGATCGAATTTTTATCGAACCAAAATTTCAATATGCACTTTCTAAATAAATATGCAATTGCCTAAAGTACCGAGCCTTGACTATTACGACAATAAGTCTTTTATAAATACAAATACTTGATAACTTACTTATTTAACTCTGTTTTTATCATAATATTTTGGTCATTGTTCACTTTGTTTCTGTCGATGTTTGAAAGAACTTGATCAGTCATGAATTTATTTTTTATCTAAATGTTTGATAAATCAAATTGATGTAGTAATTAAACACTTAAATTACTAACTCAAACTGAGAACAAGTAAATCTTTTACCTCTAATTCTTTGAACACTTTTTCAATTGATTTTAATTTAATTTTAGTTTCAGAATTTGATTTAAATCCATCACTATTATCACTACCATTTTTCGTAATTTTTTGATTCTATACATATAAGTTAATAATACAAAAAATGTTGAATAATTAAAATTAAAAAAAAAAATGTAATGCCTACAAAAGCATCAAATTTATATTGACATTTTAAGTAATATATTTTAATAAATAATTAACATTAATTAACATAATTATACGTTAATAAATAATTAACATAACAACGAGTGGCCAAGATTATATGTATTACATTTTATTCACGAAGATAAATATATGTAAATTTATGTATTTTGTGAAGGAATACGAATGACCATATATTATGTATATCTTACGGGTAGAGTTTAAAACTGGGTAATGTACACATTACCCGAGTAAAATACACCTTATCAATATGAACAGTATAAAGTGAACATTATTCATTTTATATATATATATATATATATATATATACAATTTGTATATTAACCGATGTATTGTGAATAAAATATTAGGTAGTGGCATTTAGAATTGCAAAGTATCCTTCCAGATTTACATTTATTTGTTAAAAATTTAGTTTTACACAAACATTTTTTAAAATCTTGATCACTGGAAAGATATTGTGCAATAGCTATTTCACACAAGGATTTTTTTGTAGTGGACAATTCTAAAATAATATCGGATAATATGTCATAATATTTTGATTCCGTTAAATGCACTGAATTCTCATTCTCTTCATTAATTAATTTATTAAAATTCTCATAAAATTTTTCTTATTTAGAAGAAATTTTAATAAACTAAATAATTAAACTTTAATAAGCTGAACAAGCGAACTCAAAAGCACCGTATTTAAGGATAAAATTATTATACAATATCAGAGTGCACGTTTTATCATAATATACAGTTAATATTTTATCGTATTTTATTCTCTCACTTCAAACACTTTATCCACTCCAAGGTAGATACTGTACTTACAAATTACCCGGTTAATGTACAAAATAAACGTTTTACAAATAACGTTATCCAATAGGCAAGGGTAGTTTTCACATTACCCCTCCCATCCCTTCATCGATTTTCGTATTCTATCCGTAGTATATATATATATACCATCAGGATAATTTATTTATTTTTCGAAATTATTTCCATCGTTTTACAATTTTTATTTTCTCATTTACGCACGATTTATTACTACAATGTGTTATAATATTTGTTAATTTTCCGAAAATATCAGATGTATTAAACCAACTAAGGTTCCAAGTTTCCAATCACGTTAATTTTATCCTTTTTGCATACCAATTTCTACCACGCAATTGACCCATACTTAAAATGATGCATATTGCCAATAAGAATCAATCTCTTTTGAATATTAGTTAAAATTGTTTAAATTTCATCCTTTTCGTATTTTTTTCTTATATATAATGTATTGTTATGTTTAACAATAATTTTATTATCTATACAATGAGTCATAGTCCGTTTTTCAATAAAATAAATAAATAAAATACATAATATTTTACCCACAACTAAATTTAATTAATACTTGGGATTTAGTTATTACCTGTGTTGGCTGCACTTCTGAAGTTATATATGAGGCATCATTTGCATAATTTTCATTATTGATATCATATTTTACTAAAAAATATGTAATTGAAAATAATGTGTCTGATATTTTTGAATGACAAAGCAATTTGAATGCTTAATCACTAAAACTTACACAATTTATTGTATAGGTACTATAAATTTATCGTAGTCGTAGGAGCACAAACGCTTAATTATGATACAGTATATAAATTAATTGGTTTAATAATTATGAAAAGTTTAGAAAATAATATTTTTTTGTACTAAGAAAACAATAATTTATTATATTTTGGGATATAGAAAGTATTAATTATTTTACTTTTTGGTATTAAAATTCTTAAATTGAACTAACATTTTATATCAGAGGTTCAATAATTCATTATAATTCAAATGTTTTAGACATTCAATTAACAATACAAATAGGAAAACCAAATAATTAATTCACTTTTCTTATTTTTCATTAACTATTGAAAAATTTGTGATTAAAATCAAATGATTACAGTAAGTTATTTATAATTTTTGAGAAATTTGTTAAGAGGTTCATGTAGTTCACTATATTAAAATAGCTTCTAAGTTTAAGCAACATTGGGTTGAATAAAAAATCAATTGGATTTAATTAAATTAGAAAATTTTAGATGTAATTCTTTTATACATATTTCACAATGCTCACTATTATAGAAGTTGTGATATAACGATTGTTTTTTCTAATTAATTACCTATATGCTTGTCATAATAACCGTTTAGGTTTGTGTATTGATATTTGATTACATTAATTTAAAAATAAGTATACCAAATACATTTAAAATTATATAAATACCATAATAAGTAGATTTTAACGTGTCGTTTGACTGAGTTTCTTTTAAACAAGCTGAAAACTCTTCACTTTTTACAATTTTGTGTGTCATTATTGATATTTTAACAAATTAAATATTTATAAATCACTATAAAATATTATGGCCTATGGAAATACTTTATTATTAAATTTGAACAAAAACAATAATATTAATCTATTGATTTACACACGCATTGTTATAGCTACATTAAAATGTAAATAAAGGAATTTTTTAACTATAAACAAAAATTAAACTACGAAAAATGGTGGTTATAAAAGTACGTCAAACGAGTTTAAGTTATAACAAAATCAATGTTGGTCATTTTATATTATTAAATGTGTACCGTTCCATACGTCATTAAAATATTACTTTTAAAATACAAATTGGAATCATCATTGTTTTAAACCACAAACAAACAAATGTTATCTACACGACGCGAAGCACTTTGTTATAAAATGTTGTTACAAATGTTATAATTGTAAATTCTTTACAATTCTTTGTTCCCCATCTTATAATCTGATTTTCGCTAATAAGAAAGAAAATAATTTATCCAGTCTCTACAGCACGTTTATATTAATTTTATTTAAATAACCATTCAACAATATTATAAGTAAATGGGTAGATAAAAATTCGAAATGCACATATACTATTAAAATGGATAAGTTTAAAAATCTTATAAGATTGAATATTGAACAAATAATGTTTGAAGTTATTAAACATTTAATTATAAACTTCGGTTTAAAAAAAAAAAAAAAAAATAAAAGTAATTATAATACTCAATAATATAAAACAAATACATACAAAATACATTAGAACCTGTTTTTTATTCATTCGGAATTATTATAATTTACACATTTAAATATAAATCATATCATACCATGTATTCCAGTAGGTGCTCATTACTATTATTATTATTATTATTCACAATAATATCTATATAATGTCGTTTTTTTTTTTTTTATTCTGAATTTATATAATGAATATTATAATGGTAATGAAATTAGCAGCAGGTCACTCGGTTAGCAACATGTTTAGTAGTTATACCCCCACCGACCAACCCGTGTGTTTTTATATGTATACAAGGAAATGTTGGCGATTCAGCCAGTTTGTGAACTCAATTGGGCTGGTGTATAGTTCTCAGGGAATTAGTTCTTCTTGTAAGTATATAATATTAATTTATGTTATAAAGTTAAAGATCATATGATTGTTTTCCAAAGCTTATGATATTTAGAATAAAAAATATTTAGTGTGCAACTTATTCCTCTTGATTTTTTTTTTTTTTGTCAAATTTTAAATTAATTTTTTACTATAATGTAATCTTGTTTTTAATGATTCTTATTCGTAAGATTAACATAAAAATAATGCAATTATGTAAGTATACATAAATTATGGTTTACGTACGTCCAAAACTGTTTTGTAAATAAAAAAATCTTATCGAGTATTATTTGTGTACGGTAACGTAAGTAACTTTGAGGAGTGAAATGAAATACAATAAAAATGACTCGGTTAAATGTATTCGTGTGAAACGTATTTTAATTGGTACTTTTAAGTGTTGTAATAAATATTAATAAGGTAAATGCGGTTCATTACGTAACGATAAAAAGTATATTTCGATACGTTTCGATCGGTGAAAATATGAACACGAAAGAAGCAAAAACATTCGACACGCGCTATTAATGTTTTCGTCTTAACACTGTTGTGTCCGGTGTTGACCTAAAACTATTTGCTGAGCGCATTCAACTCCGACGAACGAATCCCGTTTCGTATTCGCTGCGGTACGACGGTTTGAATTAAAAGCGCTACGAAAGTTTTCCGTCCGCTGTTCGGCGGTGCGCGGTGCAACGCTTATGTTTCGTACGGATTTGGACGACGGACGTACCGTACGTCACACCCCGACAACCAGACTCGGGCCGAGCGTCCGGGGGCCGCGTTACGTAGCACAACCGCGCCGAACACACCCGGCAGTAACCATTAATCATCGGTGAGATAAAAAAAAAAAAATCGTGTATGCTAATCAGCGTACCGGTAAACCGGTTGGGACGGTAAACGTAGTGCCGCAGGAGCTGGTGCACACGTCCGTCACCTCTCCGCCCGCCCGCCGCCGGGATCCGTAATTAGTTGCCCGGCCGTCATGAATGGAGGAACAGTTGCTCGTGTGAAGACGTGTGCGGGGACGGTTGCCAAAAGCGGATTTACTCGCGCGCCACGGGGTCGATGATCCCCGGCGACCGGCTCGTAACGCGTACACACGGGTGTAATTACGTATTTCAACGGGCGGTCGCGCAGCAGCAGTGCAATCGTTGTGGGATTAAAGCCCGTGCTCGAAACGATCGACGACGCCGGGGACGTTACAGTCCCACCGAGTTTTCCGTTCCCCGGATCCGTTCAGCCGGTCATCCTACCTCAACCGGATCCCGGGCCGCGTCGTTTTCCCCGCGGCTCCCGGCCAAAAAACATTGCATCAATGACACCGGACCGACACTCGCGCACCTGTCCGTTCGACTTCGCGCCTCTCGTCCGCCGCCGCACGTACGCACGGGCCATCGTATCTGGTCCGGGGAGTTTCGCGCGCGGTCCGATGGTCGTTTTTTTTTTTCTCCTTCTTTTCCTTAATAATTAGGTCGCTCCCATCGGGTGTTGCACGGGATCGTACCGCATTTCAACCTCGTGTCCCGCCGCGCTTACCTCACTGTTGTCGTACGATGAAATGTTTTCTTCGCTCCGGTATTCACGTTTTGATGGATATACCGCGTTAAATATATGATTTGCACTTAAAAACCTTTATACAGAGCGCATTGATTATGTTTTTCGAGTTGGCTTGAAAGCTAATTACAAATATAATCACCCTAGCAATGGTATAATCCGTTGCGTATCAGAACGATAAATGTACGTGATGGCATAAGGCATAACGTAATAGCAACTGCACGGCTTGAATAACCGATTTACATTTCGGTGAAGACAATTGCCCAGCTAGTTAAATTTATAAATAGAATATTTCAATATCAAAACGTGTAAACACTAACCATAAATGGATACGAATTGATGACCAGTAGTGCACTTAATAATATGGTTCAATGTATTTTATTTTTTTTTTTAGTGGCCGTCTCGTTGACGAATTATTTCCAATTGGTTTTTCGTTTACGGTTCAGGATAAAATAATTGTTAGCGTCGATGGAATTTCCAAATGCTAAGAACATGAATTTTCAATACGTTTTAGTGTTGACTTTCGGCATACAACTATCGATCGGGTCGACGAATTCCACTTTCAGGGAACACAAGGTGCACCACACGTCATGATGACGATGCCAACGAGTTCATATATATATATATACTATTTACATGTATACGTATTTATTTCTACGAGTATAGGTCCATAATATCGTACTGTACCCGGACAAACATTCGTGGTGCACGAGCACGTCCATTAAACAAGTCATATCCGCCATGGACTGCGATCCCGTGGAAATCGACAACCGCGTCTGCCTGGGCGCTTGCTTCAGTTATTCCATACCGAGAACGCTTCCGGCCGACAACAGTGACGAAGTGAATTCGTATTGTGACTCGTGTCAACCCATAAAGACGCTATGGATACCCGTAAGTGTTACGACCGTTACGGCAATAATGGTCCCCTTAGGTGGAGTTGAAAGGAGTTCACGGGAGCTTGAATTCTACAAATGTTCTCTAAACCATCTAAAAAATGTCTTGAGTATACAGTGTAAACACTCCTTACTTCTCTATTTAAGTGTATACTGCAGTTAAAAAAAAAAATTTATGCCTACCTAAAATGCTACTCAATATCTTAAATGTCTTAAGTGAAATTTGCATTTACACATCCTTCCTACTATTTTGTCTGCGTTATTTAGATACAATTGTCTTGCAACGGTGGAACGAATCATACCAAACACGTACAGCTGATCAAAGAATGCAGATGCTCGTCCTGTAGCCGGCATTGGGAGTTGGAAAATCCCGTGACCAACATTGAGGACGAAGACACTTCTACTACACAAACGTCGAGGTGAGGGGGTTGCGCGATGGCCATATTTTCTAATTATTAATACTGATTAACTCACTGATCAATAATAGAATGCTTCAGATATTTGGAGCTAATGAAACTTGAACATGACGAAAACGACGAAGATGAAGATAACACTACTGACATAGCAAATACAGAGGTTATTATAAAAATAATTATTAGTAATAACTTATTACTCATTATTAAATTATTAATGTTTATAAACCTATACACACTAATTTGTGTGTGTATAGCATTGTGTGTATGTAATATTATACAGATCATTTTAACTATTTAGATTATAGCTGCTGTAAATTCGACTAGAGTGATGTCCGAAAAAACAATTTGGATTCGAGGTCCTCATCATTCGAAAGTAAATATAACGGAAAAAAAAATAATTTCATGCGTCATAACTACATTACTTCGTAATTACAGGTACTGTTGAAAAAAGAAATCGTAAACGTCCCCGATATTGCAAACGAAGAGGCCCAACAATATTTAGAAGATACAGCTGATAAGAATAAAGTGTTATAATACGTATAATTTTTAACTGTACATTTTATTATAAGTGTACATTACGATTAAATTAATTGTAAAACAAATTATATGGGTGCACCAGTACCAATTGATTCATGTAATTTTTTTAATAACAAGTCTAGATCTATAGCGTTGTTTCTGCATTGAGCGGCCATTTGACCTTCTGGCAATTCTATTGGTTCATATTTCAACAAATTCTCAGCTTGTTCCAAGTAAAACTTTGATCTCTGTAATTATATTTTAATTTGTTTAGCGAACTTTGTCTTAATCGAACCTTTTCATTATCGACTCACCAAAAGAGCTTCCATCACAGTGCCAGTGTTTTGACTAGATCTCCTTGCATCTTCCGCCATTACAGCGTGCAATTCAAACATTAAACTACCTCGGATTCGACATTCAGCTAAAAAAAAAAATAATAATAACAGATAGGTATAAAAAAAAATTAATTCTAACATTGTTTTAACACAACTACGAATATAAATATCTAATCTAACCAGAAAATAATACGTCTGCGATTTTTAAGACTTTCAAACATAGTTCTCTCTTGTGATTCAACTGTTCTTGAGACAACTGATCCAAAGGCACTCCTTCTTGCTGCCCGTAGAGCTGTGCCAAGTTTAGACGGATCTCAGTGAAATAATAATGATTTGGATGCAGATTTCCGATAGTCACATAATGATCCAAAAACATACAGCAATGTTTCGGATCTCGTCGATTCATAGCTGCCATATCTTTGCCCACGTGGGCCAAAGAAAGTTCAATGCTGTTAGGATCCACGACCGTGGAACAAAAGTTACAAGTCCATTCAATATCAAATGGATCGTTAGTAGACTGGAGGACGTTAGGTAATGCGTACCCAATACAATCCCTGAAAAATGTAACGTGTGGACTAAGCATATAATGTACTCGTACACTGTCTGATTATAAGACAACAATGGAGGAGAACACTTGTTTCCTATTGTTTAACTGCAGTTGAAAAGGTTATAATTTTTTCTGCATTTTTATTTATTTATTTTTTTGCTTTTAGAGTTTAAATAATTAAAAGGTATATAAAGGTTATGAATATTATATTTTTTCCAAATAAATTTTATAATAATATTATTCAGCTATTTAAAAGCATTTAAAACAACAACAGTTTGTTTTTTTACTGAAGAATATAGTGGACTAGGTCGATAAACTTTTGTCCGAACATGTATCAAAAATCAAGGAACTGACTTTTAAACTGCATCGAAGTTTCTTCGTATACCGAAAAGGATTCTTTATTATTGTCTATCACAAGTAATTTTGTCTATCTTCACATTCGTTTATCGACATTTTTTTTCGTGCAATAGATTGAATTACAAATTCTAAGTTAAAAAATTGTCTTCTCTCTACTATTGTCCTTTACAATATTTCACTATTCAAGCTAACAACTCACAAAACTCACTCGGTTGTGCATTTGACTCCACTGTAGTACGTCCCTAATTCAGTTGGATCGGAACACCTGGGACATTTGCAAACGAAAAATTTCGTGTCAGCCAGATGAGCAAGTCGTTGAGCGGTGCCCCACAACGAGTCCGTGTAACAAATAGATAAATGTTCTCCTTTTTTAATTGCCGTATCTCTGACTCTGATCAACAAATGGCCGTCGCTAGTGAAAGTCTTAGAACAGTTAGGTAAGCAGCTGTGCTCTAGCATAGAACCCGTATCGTAGATGGCCACGTACGGAGGGTCGGCCAATGGTACTTCGTGCCCGTTCACCTGGACGATACCGCAGACCCTGAGTATCTCATCGGTCGAGTATTCGGATGGATCCAATTTGAAAAACCTGTGCAGGTAGTTCGCAATCCAAATCTTGTCAGACTCGTATTTGGATCCGCCCTGACGACTGGAGCAGTGGGACTCCAAAGATGTCAATTTTGCCCAAACCTCTGGATTGTTGTGCTTTTGATACAGGCACCTGATCACCGTGATCGATTGGTAACTTGGATGGGGAACAGTGAAGTCTTTGATATTGACCTGTATAATAAATTAACATAATTTATTTAAATTTAATTAATAATTTCAATACTAATCTAATTCAGCACAAGGACGCGAGGGTGACGTGCAACTCTAGAATCTAAACATTAATCCTAGATGTTCTAAATGCTTTTGCACATTTAATAGTATTCTGTCATTGACATTCGTGTTTAATATCGACAAGTAAGAGACAACACGCTATTACACATAGTGTAGAATGTAATACATATTATATTATGATACTAATTAAATTTCAGGAATTTACGATATCCTGAATATGCTTTTGAAATGTACAAAATCCTTGAAATGTACGGTCTAAAGTTTTACAAAATCGTAATATACGTCCTGAAAATAAAAAAATTCCAAAATATGCAAAATGAAATGTTGTACGCAGAATCATTGGGTCGTGAAACAATTAACGTTGGTATAAATTAGCAATTGTTATTCCGATCAATTGTTAAAAATATACAAGTGCATACCTGTCCAAATAACAATTAATAAACAGTGTTGTATTTTTTTTTTTGCCAAAAGTTGAATATGTTCCTAATAAAAATAAATAAAAATAAATGTTCAATGCATTTAAAATACATTTTCCAATAATAATAACAGGATTGAAAATCGACCACCGAAATGTTAGCTCTATAGTTGCTCGTTGACGCGTCACGTGATATTACGGAAGTCAAATGTCTCTCACTTTCTGTTTCCTCCGGTTGACGGTCCAATCGCATTCCGCCCTGTGCCACTCGTCGTCCGCGCACTTAGGATCCGAACACATTGGCCATCCGCATTTCTCACATCTCGTTGCCGCGTCCGCGCTTATTGATTTCAAGCATCCCAGACAAACGGGACCGGTGATCTGCGACGGGCCGCGAATCAACGGCCGTTCGTTCAGCACCAATTGCCATTCGACCAAGTCCACGTTAGCGGCCACATATCTGCCCAGAGTCGGATCTTCCAAGATCTGAATTAATACAACGGTCTTGTAAAAACAATACACACCACATCGTTTTTAAATGAAATGTACTAGCGTACAGCATAAGTTTGTTTTATGCGTTTAAAACACTTAAGTATTAGAAAATCACTGCAATAAGTATTTTACGATTGTCGGGTGACTAAAGAACAATAATCGATAATCATTCCTGCGGGTCAGATATTACGGATATACAACTTTTTAAAAATACCGAATCGTCGAACGAAAAACAAAACTAACCTAACCTAACGAAACCCCCAAAATTAATCTGAACTTGTGAACATTATTTTGATCTGATCCGAACAATTTTTCGATCAAATTCATAGAATCGTATGGAATGTGACTCTTACCTTTATTAATTGTTTAACCATAGTGACCGGTGTGATCGAGATAAACGTACTGGGACATGATGCGATCACATAGCTTGTATCAGAGCATAAATAGAACGGTTTCAGCGAGGGATTAGAGGGGATAGGTGTACGAGATGGTGTTTAAAAATAGGATGAATCCAGAGCAGCAGAGCGCCATGGGACATCATCGTCATTTTATACCACATCATTTATATTTTCACAAAATGCAGCAGATAATTATTACAAAATATATTTTGATATATATTTCTTTATTTTATCAAATTACACAAAAGAACACTATACATAGGATAGGCTTAACAAACCACAACTATAATATTCGTAGCAGTAATGTTGATAACTGGAGATAAAAAAAAAAAAAACGATGAGATGAACAACGAAATACCAAACCTACCTGTTTAATAATACTTTGAAGATTGACCCTGATCAAGAGATATTTAATAGTTCCAATTTTTTTAAGTTTTTCTTGAAAATATTTTTCGTTTATACTTAAATGACGTTCATTATTAATAAGATTATATTTAGTTATCATCTCATTATATTTTTTATTAATTTGCATAAAAATGAAAATTTAAATTTCTAACTTGGTATTAAAAATGATATTTTAATAAATTTACAGAAAAATTTTTAATATTTAAAAAATAATTGTATTTTTAATTAATCGTAATTTTAAACAAAAAAAAAAAAAAAAAAAACACTAAATAAAATAAAAATAATTTTTTTGTACTTACAATGTCAAGCTTAAATTCTTGCCCATATTTATAATTTCTAAGAGTTAGGATGATGACATTTTTCCATCTATCAAATTTAAACTTAAATTGTCTAAGGTGGAATCAATTTTATAAACGAAAAATATCAATCAATAAACTTTACTATAATATTAATAATAATATAAATATACAAAATATGTCTTAGCAATTGATGATAGTAGTTGTTCTTTTTTTCCATCTACATGTAAGATATAAATGTTGGCTTAGATATATCTTTCAATTATAAAAATTATAGTAAAAAATATAATATATTTCTTAAATAAACACAAAATTTCTATACTATACAAATATACATAATATACACCAAGTTAATTTTATATTATACTATATTAAGTTTCTATTGATTGTTCTTTACTATTAGTAAATAGCCTAGCATACAAATCACCAAATTCTGATATATTTTCAATCATTGTAAGTCTTAAAGAATCAGAGTATGGTTTTGGTACAGAAACTGCCATTGTATCTCTCCACATACCACCTATATTGTTTCTTAAGAAAAGTGCTGGTGCAGGTATATTATCTCTGGTATAAGTCCAAACGCAATCACGCAGCATTATCAGTATCTATATTTCAATAAATAAATATTATAATTATGTAATATAATGAACCTAAACAGTAAATAGTAAAAAATGTTGTACCTGTTGTGGAGTAAGTTCTCGAACAATAACACCTAGGACGTCTAAAGGTTTAGGTAAAAGCTGACCAAGTGACATAGTGTTTAATAATTTTACAGTATCATCCAACAATTGTGGATTGTCTTTTGACTTTCCTTTAGTATGATTGACAGCCCCCCAGTGGTTTATTAAACAAGCACAGACTGCTCGTAATAGGACTGAACAATAGCAAAGTGCTGGTCGATGACCAGCCAATATTCCAAGTATTGTCCAAAGGATTGGTTTGGTAGTGATTGTATGGTATATATGAACATCTCTTTCTATAGTCACCTAGAAATATAAATATTATCATCCATTGTTTATAGTATACATTATTTAAGTTATTTTACTTTAGTAAAATCTTCATCAGGCCATGGCAAACCGTTGTACATTACATCTGGCGATACAAATTGAACAACTAATAAAGCTAGAGATACTACTGTATCTAATGTCGGTTCAAATGAATAACATTCATCAGATGAATAACAAGAACGCAAAAACGAAACTAGACGTTGCTCATTAAAACGTACACTTTTTGCATCAAAAACCGGCATTTTGTATTTTGGATGTAATCCATCTTTATCGAACTTTAAAGTTATTTTTCTGCCAAACATTGAATTATACTCCTAAACAATAACAATAACTTTATAAAATGGTTTCTCAATTAAAATTCTAAAATATAAACCTGTTGAAAGAATGATCCTGTTAATGAAGTCTTTTCAAGTGGCTGAATTATATAGTCGTTACGTCTATTATCTGGCATGACAAACAGCAATGAAAATGGTTCCTTCAATACACCATCCAAAATATATTTCATAGCAGCTGTCCTAGCAATGGATGACCGATAACTGACAGTATTGACAAATTTGTTCATTCGAAGACAAGCTTTTAGTTTAAACATCTCATCTGTAACAAAATAAAATAACGAATGAAAAATAATTTTGTCCAAAAAGTTATTAAAACAAACCTTTTTTCTTTGAAAAGACAGGTGAAGAAATATAATACGGCTGATTTAACACAATATAATACTTTGGGTACAGATAATTCTTTCATGCACAACTTTTCAGAAACTTTAGACAGTATAAATGACAACAAGTGAGCAGAGTTCATATCTCCACAATGGCAACTTTCAATCATTGATCGGCATATTTTATCTAGATGTGAAACAACTGCTGATGATACACCATATATTGAAATACCATCAGGTAGATCGGATTCCAAACTACAAAAAAAAATAAGTAGTTGTTTTATCAATAAGTCATATAGTATGATAATAATAATAACTGCGACTAACTAATTTAAATTATTATATCAGCAAATCAATATGAAATTCTAGGTAAATTACATCAATGTATCATGCACTAAGTGTATATTTAATGCATAAAAAATATATTTCACAAATAACAACAATAACTAAATAAACCTTTTAGTGAAGGATATATTTTTAATATTTGAATATTCAAAAAATATTCAAATAATTATATTTAACTTTGTGTTTTATTGTCAGCAATTAAGTACAACACATAAAAGATACTAAAAAACAGAAATTTAGTTTATTCATATATTTGTTTACATATATTTTGATACTTGATTATTCAAATGTTTAAATATTTGAATACAGGTTACACTACTAATAATATAATATTTGATAATCACTATTTTAACAACTAATTAAGTAATGACTTACCTTATTAAAGTGTTAATATTGTTCCACATATTGGATAAGGAAACATCAGTTTTGGCCAAAGCGTAAACTAAACTAGCATTAAAATAAGCCATGTTGGATCCAAATGATAGAACTTCAATTAATGTTTCTAGCTGTGTACTATTTTTAGACTCAATTAACATTGTTGCTATGTATGGTAACAAACATTCTGGATCCCTAATCGCTAAAATTGAATTAATTTTAATTGTTATTCTTATGTTTAGTATAAATCCATTCGTAAGAAAAGTACAAACCGACACGATTAAAGAGCCTAGCAGCTGGCTGAGCAACATCAACATTTGTTGACAACAAATATGGTTTGAATGTGTACAAATTAGCAAGTAGTTCTTTAACTATTGGTGGTGATAATAGACTAGTGTTAAGTGTCAATTCAATTTCGGCAAGAAATATTTCTAAAAAAAAAATATTTGACTAGAATTTGTCCAACAATATTTGAATAGTAAAAATATAATTTACCAAATAATGTCTGAGTTCCAGTTTTTAGTGTCTTGAATTTTGGATCTTCACAACCAAATAGCTGAAATATTAAATTGAATACATGTTTGATCCCTCTATCTGCATTCAACAACATTTTTACTAAAATATCCAATAAACTGCATTTTTCATCAAAATATTTTTTCCATTGCGAGTACAATGGTACTAGTTTATTGAGTAACTCAGGGGTAACTGAAACAATACAAATTAATATTTGTTAACATTTGTTTATTTACAGTCGAAGGCAATTTAATGTACATATTTCAGTTTGTATTAATTTAATAAAATAAAATTTTAGTTTAGTACATTTTCCAACAAAATAGGTAAGAAATTAGTCTTCAATAAAAAGGTAATTTATAAAATTAATTATCCAAATAATGTTGAAAACTTAAATTATACAAATATTTTGTTAATATTAAGACATATTATGAGATAAATAAATAAATACTTACTTTGAGTTAAATTTTCACACAACATAGAATTAAGTAATGTTGAAGAACACATAGCCATGTGCAATAGAAAAGGAACTATCATAACATTTTCGGCAGTCAATTTTTGATGTTCTTCACATAAACTCAACTGTATAAAAATAAATATATATTATTTATAGTATTTATATAATTTTAAGTAATTTTATAATATACCAAAAACATATTAACAAACCTTAAATAATTTAAACACTACATCTTTTATGTTGTCGAAGTATGTTAATGAAAGATGATCAATAATTCTAATAAATGAATTTAATTTTTCAGTCTAGACAAATACACGAAATAAAATATTATAACTTATAGATATTTAAATATATAATGATAACTGATACTTTCTAATTTACTTACACACTTAAACTTTTTAGTAGAACACATTTCTTTGATACCATATAATAGCATATCCATTACAACTAATGATGGAAAACTATCACCAATTTGAGCTAACACCCATTCAAAACTTGAACTTTTATATCCCAACATGATTTCTAAAAAAAAATAAATAAAAAATGTAGCTTATAAAGAATTAAAAAATAACTATAAAACACTTACCTATCATAGGGTCAACTGATCGTTCTCCTTCTGCTTTAACCATTTTTGCAATTGTTTTATTATTTATATCTACTAATATATATGCAACTGAACACTGAGACCAAAATCGAAGCATTTCTCCCAATGGCACTCTAGCAAATTCATTAACGTTATAGTGTTTGGAGACTTTGCCTGTACATCAATAGTTTTTTTTACTTTCACAAATATCAAAACTAATACTATATAATGTATTTACCTAATAACTTATATGACCAATGTAATACAACATGAGCCCAAACTAAGTGATCTTCTTCAACTAATCTCAGTAAAACATCTCGTATACTGGTCACATTTTCAATCACTTCAGGTGGAATGATTGGAGGCTCATGTCGTGATGATGAATTTGAAGATTCAACCCAAGATGGCTAAAATACATTTTTTTTTTCAATTAGTTATAAAGATACATTTTAGTCTGTATTTATAAACAAAATACCTGTACTTTGAGCTGTTTCAAGTATGTAGAAATAGCATAGTCAAAAAACTTTCCATAATACTCTAGAACAGCATCCTGTGCAGCTGGCAGTACTTTGAGAAGTTCCATTGCATGAGTAATTTGATCTGTTTGGACATTGATGAAAGGTTGTTTAGTTTCACTCAAAAACACGGCTAATTTAGCAAATTGATCTTCTTGGTGTTTTTTCATCTCCATGATTTAATATTTTTTACGAACTGAATTTGAATGAAAAAAACAAAATGATTTATTACTAGTGAATAAACACTCCAAAAACGTATGCACTATAGTCAATTTCAATGTTAAAATATCTACTTTCTAGATTGCATTTTTTGATTGAATGCACACGAGTTATAAATTATAACATGATATATTACCATTAAAGTATAAAACAGTTAAAATTGATCGAATACTAATTCAACACTAAATAGTAAACATTTTACAATTCAAGAATTGCAATGTTATGAATATACCGATGCGGCATTAGTTTTTACATGCTTTCAATGTTGTACGTTTTGATAACAATAGTAAATTAGTGATAAGATTTCATGGACTAATTATTACGTTTTTTTTTTTCAAATAGGGTTTATTATTGAGTTCTTGAATCATTTGGTTTAAAAAATATTTAATGTTTTCGGGTTCAAATGCATTATCAGATAAATTCACTACTCCAATGAGTGAACGGTTGTTGTGGATTACAGTCACAGTTTGGGCGAGATGATTTTTATCCAGTGGCGTATTTTCAAATTTTTTGTGGGGGGTCTAAATATTAAGTACCTATAAGTTTATAATATAAAAAAAACACATACGAGTTATGATGTAAATATGTAATAACTATATTATTTATATTAAATTATGTATATTTCACTACTAATATGACTCGTTTTCGTCGTAATTGTCGTCGTCGAACAGCGACGACGCGATAAAAATAACTAAAAGTTAAACCAAACTATAAACCCATAATATAAAATTAATATTCTCTTTCTCGGTACCTACGTACCAAGTTTTTTTGACTTTTTAAATTTTTTTCTGGGGGGGGGGTCGAGACCCGGGAACCCCCCTCATAAATACACCACTATTTTCATCCTTGTGAAAAAATTATTATATAGTTATATAATATATATTTATATAGTTTACCATTCAATTGGGTTTTTTATTTTTTCTACTTTGTAATAATTTAATTATTCATCCTGTATATATGTCAAAGGATATTTTAACATACAAAGTATGTGACGCTAGTGCCCCTCCAGTAATAATTGAATGTTACCTAGTGGTAGATGATTGTGCCCCTAACCTATGCATTCTCATAACGACTGTATTGACAGGAGTTCCTTTTCCCTTCAAGTTCCTTTGATAATCAATTTTGGTAAAGTGCCACCCAGTGAAAATTACTTAAAATATGTTCTGATATATGTATTGGAATTAGTTGGTCAAATGTTTATAAATAGTTCAATCACTTATGATTCAATTTATATCAAAATATATTTCTTTCCCCTAAGTAAGACTCTGAAGTCATATCAATATGTTATAAGTTTTGAATATGTATAACATTAGAATTGCATTACGCAGTTGTACAATTTCAATATATTATAAATTGTTTTAAACTTTTAATTATTCATGAGATTTCCAAATAATAATTATCCATACACTAAAATAATCTAAGAACATTTTTTTTGGCTTTTCATTAATAGTTCTCTTAAAATAGTTATACCAATTTTTTGCATTTATAAGCAATATAGTAAATTAATTATAAAAAATAAACGTAACATTATACAAATATGCAATAAAATAAAATTTGTATCTTATTCATTCAAATAATTTACATAATTATTTAATTTTTTGAAAATATTGATCATTTCTTTTATCCATCATAAGAAACTGACCACAGTGTAGGTAAATATTTCGGTTTCATTGTATTCAGGAAATGTTGTCGCCACATTGTTTTTAATTCATTCAAAGCATTTCGTTCCAAAAAATGTTCAACTACCTTTTTTGCAGCATTATTATGTTGACTATCATTTTCATACCTATAAGCATAATTCATACAAGTGTTTCATTAAATTAGACAAAAAATTTATTTTACAAAAATATTATAAAAAATTATAAAACTCAAAACTATTTATAATCTTAGATGAAATCCTCAGTGAAAATTTATATTACATCTCAATAATTCCCTGATTTTCTAATAAAAACTAACCTAATATTGTATACTTGGGTGACCTCCATAATTAACTAGAAAATTAACTATAGTTTTTGATTTATATTAGCTTTTCTTAATTGTATTTTCATAGAAAAAATGAAATTAACTTACTTTAAGGATTTAATAGTAACCAATGTTTCAAGAAAAGAGTCAAACACTCGATTTGGTTTTATATTATATATTTCTGCAATTTCTAATTTTAATTCATATATAATTTTATCTGGTAACTTATGCCGGGATTTCAAAAGAGTTTGAGCAAGACTCTTTGATCTCATTATTTTTACATATGCAGGAATCTAAAAATAAATAAATTCATAAAAGTTTTTTTTTTAACTTGAGTTCAAGACCACAGAATTAAATTACCTTTCGATATTCATTTGGGTTCACCTCATTAGTTTTACAAATATCAAATAGCTTTTTACGTATGGTAGAATCGAATGTATTTGATTTTATGTGACACCAGTAACATAAAAGTAACGTATCGTGAGGTATGTGACTTTTGTAAGCAGCTTAAAGAAAAGAAAAACTTATAACATCAAATGTATATACTCATTATGTCTTCTTCTTGTTCTATTTCACCTTTTTCCCAAATATTGATTCTATTTTGAACTATCTTCTTCCTTGTCCTAAACCTCTATTTGTCTCGATTTTCTACATCCCTTGTGTACACACCAACAGCCTTCATATTGTTCTCAATCGTATCTAACCATTTCTTTCTCTATCTATTTTTTCTTCAACGTTAATTTTCATAACCACTCTCAGGGGCGGATTTAAGGCACAGCAAACTATGTGGCCGCATAGGGTGGCAAATTTTGGAGGACGGCAAAATTATGTTGAATATTTATTTTAATTTTCTAAAATTAGGTACATAATTTTTAAAATTTTATCTATCACTTCAAAATCTTTAAATTGTGGATTTTGTATTCGTTTATTTTTAGCAAACTATTATTTATATTTTCCCAGGAACACGACAACGATGTTTGTATTTTATTATAGCTTATCTTATTTTTTATGAACTGTCTCGTAATACTATATTAAAAATCTATAAAAAGAAAAAAAAACAATTCGCCATGACGAAACTCGAGATGGACAAGTAGAAATATCAGCGAAAGATAATTTTAGAATTAATACATTCTATGTTATACTTGATAGATTAGTTACTAAATTGAGTAATAGACGAAAAGCATATGAAACATTCTGCAAATCGTTTGATTTCTTTACTAAACTTCATAAATTGGAAAACTCTGAAATAATGGTTAAACCAAATGAGTTATGTTACATTTACAAATCAGACTTAGAAAAAAATGAATTTATTAATGAACTACTACATTTTCGTTCTCATCAAATTACAAGATTTAATGAAAAGAAAATTACACCATTATTACTATTGCTTGCAGTGGCGGAGCTACATACAGATAAAGGTATGATTTCACACGGGCCTCGGCATAAGAGGGGCCTCAAACAATTTAACTTAGAAAATTATAAACATTAAAATTTAACTAAAAACCTCATAAAAGTTTATTTTTAGTTTTTAGCCTTCCATTTATTTTTGTAAGTAAAGCATTGCATAATTAGCTATGGAGGTTCAGAATAATAGTAATCTAGCATGATAAATTAATTATTAGATCTTAGTATAATATGAAGATAGGTAGATATTTATGCATTTATTCGTTATAAATTAAATATCCTAGAAAAAAAGGAGTTATAACTATCCTAATAATAATATAATAATAATTTTATCACATAAATAAATTATCGGTTGTAACTTAGTATCCTAATGACATTTAATTCGGGTAGAATTAACCAATCAAATCGAATCTTTTAGAACACTATTTGCTTTTGAGCTCGAAACATTATCCAATGTTTTTGATATAATTAAATTGTTAGTCGTTGAAAATAATAATCTTATAACAAACTTCCCGAAATTACTAAAGGCATTTTATTAATTTCTCACTTTACCAGGAACTGTAGTCAGTGCTGAGAAATCATTTTCAAAGTTGAAATTAATAAAAAGCTACCTCAGAAACAATATGTCTCAAACGCATGTAATTTATGAACGTAATATGAAAGATCTATATCCAAATATTAAAATTGTCCTTCAATTATTTGTATCAACACCCGCTATTAATTGTACTGCCGAACAAGGGCGTACTCAAGGGGGGATATTTGGGATTCGAACTCCTTCCCCATTGAAATTTTTACATACTCAACTATTTAATTGTAAATAGTTTAATAATTGTATATAGTGTATTTTAATTTCCCATTATCAGATAAAATAAAAATTTTGGACCCCCCCCCCATAACAAAATTCCTGGGTACAGCCAAACATTCGTTTTCGGTGTTAAAAAGAATGAAAAATTATTTACGATCAACTATGTCGCAAGAAAGTTTAAATTCCTTGGCCAAATTAACTATAGAAAGTGATTTAAAGTCATCATTAGCGTATGAAGTTATTATTAATGACTTCTCAATAATCTAGAAAAAAACCTATGTAAACTGTAAAAATTAACTATGAATTAAAAATTTAAATATTAAAATTAAATTAAATGTATTAAATTAATTAAATTATGTTTTTCTTATAAATATTGTTACTTTAAAAAAATATGTAGATGTTATATTTGAATCAGAATTTTTTTTAGTTTACTTAAATGAAAAAATAATTTCATATTAGGTATTGAAAAAAATAATTTATTTGAGGATACTTTATTAAATAGGAGTTTAAAAGTTTTTTTTTTGGATAGAGGCGGCAAATTTAATTTGGCATAGGGGCGAAAAATTGTCAAATCCGCCCCTGGCCACTCTTACTGCTTTTGATTCCTCTCGCCTTATCACATGCCCAAACCATTTGTCTATTTTTTCTCATATTGTTTCACTATCGAAACTACACCAATACTACCTCTCACATATTCGTTCCTTATTCAATCTTCTCTTGTCACACCGTTCATCCATTTAAGTATTCTCATTTCCGCAACACTCATACTCTATTCTATTCTCAATTAAACCACCCAACACTCTGAACGACATAGCATAGTTGGTCTCCTTAACTCCTGTACAATTTACCTTTTAGTCTCATTGAAATTCTTTTATTACATAAAACGTTCAACACTTCCCTCCATTTCATCTAAACAGCACTTAACCCTATGTTTTATACTCATGCTAAAGTTTCCATATTTTGTTCAATGATATGAATAATAAATATTTAAAGTTCTCGACTTCACCTATCACATAATCGCTTATTGTTGTTGGTTTCTTCGTACCCTCAACTTCTTGGTATCTTCCTCCAAAGTCATACTCTACATATTCTATTTTATTCTTATTAATTCTCAACCCCTTTCTTTCAAGAGCTAACTCATCCAACCTATTATTAACTTCCAGATTTTCTACTACCCAAACTATATCATCTGCAAATATCATACACCATGGTATCTCACCCTGCATCTCTTTCCATTACCACAGAAAACAAATAAGGGCTTAGAGCCCAGGTGCACACCAACTCCTAGGTTGAAATCTTCTGTTACTCCAAAGTCTTGTCACTAGCTCTAGAGCCTTCACATATATCCTGAATCAAATATATATATATATTTTTGGAACCTCTTTTCTCATTAACGTATGTCAGTTTTTGCCTTTATTTTTCATATATTCATAGACTTTACTAAACTTAATTCATAAAGTTTTATATAATCAATGATATAACTAATTTAAACAATATTTAATAGCAAAGACATATTTCTTATAACTAAAATATTTTAAAGAAATATAATAATATTTATATCCTAAATGAATCAAGATTAGGCTATAAATAATTACCTCCACTCTGTAGTAAAAAAATACTATCATAAGAATAGTAATCAATGGAAAAAATATCCCAAAAATAATCAAGAAGGTAACAGATTGATGTGATAAGAAAATATTAAGAAATAATTGATGCTACAAACTGGAGAGATAAAATTCAGGACTAGGATAATCAGAGAACAGTGATGGCAGATAAAATTCTTAAGGTGCGTCCACACTTGTGTAACATGCAACTGCAACATGCAACTTGAAACACGTTTTTGTAACATATTCTTGTAACAATACAGTGAACTTGTAACACATTTTTGTAATAAACCAGCAATCGGCTGACAGTCGGTATTTTAGTGAAACGTCAAAGGATGTTACACGAACATTTTACGGCCAGTATGGACAGGTTCGCAAACCTATTACTAATAACTAACTTATTATTAATAATTTTTGTTATTCCAACTGGCAGTTGCCATTTAACACAGAAACGAGTTTGTATTTATTGTTTATTAAAGGGTTTATAATAAGGTAATCAAAGTCACTAGAAGACATTCTTAAAAAATTTTGAAATTGACCATTTATTTCTTGAGCTCTCAGGTCAGTCAATAATGTACTTCCACCAAAATGCAATCTGTGAGCGAATAGTTGAGTTTGCTACCAATTACACTTCCTTCAATTTTTCTTTCAAGTTTGAGAAATAAAGATATATACAACTGCAGCTAACCAAGTAGACATGTTGGCAATACTCTCAATTTTAAGACCCTATTTTTTTTTACATGGATACATATTTATTTTATATGGAAACCACTAAATTATGACTTGTAACATGTTGCAAACTAATGTTGCAACATGCGAATGCAACAATGCAAAAGAACACCGAACACTGTTATAGTAACACGTTAAATATTGCATGTTACGCATGTTGCATCTAATGTGGACGTACCTATAAAAAATTATAAAGCCAAAAAAGAAGCATATATTTTTATTCTAAGTAAACTCACAAAATGTATAGAACCCTTTACAGAAACCTCAAGTATACATACTTGGCATATGCCGGACAAATTCTTTCGGAATAATTTTTTTCTTTCGAAAATATTCAGGACGGCCACAAACTGTACAAATATTTTCTCGGGGAAGAACGGAAAATTTGTCTTTTCGATTTTTTAAGTCAGCTGAAAAATTAAGTCTTATAGTTCTAGGATTATCTTTAACCAATTTAGCTAAACCTTGAGATATGTACCTATAAAATAAAAGTTAAATATAAATGTACATTTTATACAACTATTTCAAAATATTTCTATACCAATCAACTTTTTTATGACTACAAGTTGACATCACTGTTCCATCAATATTTTCCATCAAACAATTGTCATAAACTTGAGCAGCTTTTATTGTTGATGTTGAATAAGAACGTATATTCGATTTTGATTTAAAGGTAGTGTTACCATTACTTTTCATATTCTTGTATGGAAGATCTATATACTCTGAATACTTTACTATAAAGTCATTCCATTTTTGTTTTTCTGTCAAAAATAACCAATTCCACCATGATATCTAATTAAAATGTATATATAATTTATTGGTTCTAATATTATTTTACATAAATTACTTTTATATTTCTAAATTGTTCAAAAATCTTGATAGCAACAAAAGCATCCATTGCTGCATATTTAATTTGACGGTCGTTCAATAATTCAGCTTCCCAATTACTAGCTCGAACACGCCAATCTTTATCCAATTCACATCCCAGTAATTCATAAGCAAGAGCTGACAGACTTCTTTCTTGCAAACTACATTCCTTAGCTAAATATCTCAAATCAATGCATCCAGATACTTGAATATTATAATCATTCATAAGCAAATGAGCATCATCCAAAATAGCAACACCAACTTTAATTATATTAGAATTGCCTAGAATGTTCTACAATATTCAAAAGTAATATAAAATTAATAATAATAGAAGTATAAGTTTTAATCAAGCAATATCATACTCACAGATAAAGACGTTGGAATAGTTTCAAGCTTAGACAATCTAATCAAAGAACACATTCCATTATTGTCCGCAATTTGTAACATTGCCACAGGATGACGAATATCATTTTGTGTTACCCACTCGCAATCAAGTCCAAGAATCGGCAGGTAAGAAGTTGATCTAATAATAAATTCTTTAAATAAATGATCAAAACAGTTGAAGTTGTATTAATTACTTTTCTAATTTATTTGCTATTAGTTCACATTCTTCAATTGTTTCCACAATATCAATTTTTCGTGCACGTAACTTTATCAATGACTTAAGAAATGGTATTTTATTAAAAACTTTGATCATCATTAATCTAATGGTTGAAAATAACATTTTATTTCGTAAAATTTTGTAAAAAATAATTATTCTAGTAATAATGTTTAAATAACTGTTATTACTTGATATTATTCTTACCGTTATCACTTATCATGTGTCTAATCTAGTTATCTTCATCGAGATAAAGAATAAATTAATTAATCTTTATCTCGTTGGCTATCTTATGGGTTTATTATTATCAGAGGGTGACTTTCCCTATCAAATGACTCATGTTTTATATTATATATTATTGTTATCACTATGACTTATTGTAAAAATATTGTGTATTTCTTTTTTCATTTTAAATAGAAAAATAAAAATAATCTATCATCACTGAGGCATTGAAGCGCACCAGCACAGAACAAAAGTAACAGTCACAGATATCAATATTATACTGATAATAATTATAATATATATGTTACAGTTAAAACTCGAAATTTGTCAAAACTTGTTTTAACTAGTCAATACTAGTTTTCATAAATCAATTCGTCAAAACTGATATTGATTAATTAACCAGGACTTCATTATTGTTACTAGTTTTTAAATACAATATTTTAACAAGAGTAAATTTGAAATACGAGTAAGTATAATTTTTATTATTTGTTTTTACAATGCAAACTATTGTGACATTTAGAGTTATACAAAATTTTTTTTTTTACATAAGGAGCAATTTATTCTACATGAATTTTGAAGCAAGATACTTAGTCATTACAGAATTCTATATTAATACCATTGTTAAGTATATTGTATGACAGTCGATATTTACGCCGACCGGTCGAAGTTATCTTAATTTATTTTCATAAATTATGATACGATAAACGCCATATAACTTTAAATGCTATGATAGTTTGCTTTATCAAAACAAATAATTATACTTATTTCTGATTGACTTTAGTTACGAAATTGTGTTTTAAAATTAGTAACAACATTGAAATACTGGTTAATTCTAGTCAGTGGCGTATTTACGGGGGGGGGGGGGGTCCAGGGGTACTGGACCCCCCCCCAGAACCTCTCCAAAAAATAAAAAATTAACAACAATTCTTACATATTTGCAGAATTGGGTATGTTAAACATTCACAGGGAAGTTGAAATGTTGATGAAGTGATAGAGGAGTTGGCCAAAAAATCGAGACAACTGGAATTTATTTTATAACAATACTTTATAATATAATGATAAATACAATATATAGGTACATATATATATATATAAACTGTGGACCCCCCCTCCCAGAAAAAATTGAAAATACGCCACTGATTCTAGTTATAACTAGTCAAAATCAATCAGTTTTAACGAAATTGAATTGTGAAAACTAGTATTGACTAATTAAAACTAGTTTTGAGGAATTTCGGGTTTTAACTGTAATATATATATATAATAAATATAATATTAAATATTGATATCTGTGGTATCAGCACATTCAATACTCAGATAACCGGAAGAATGATACGATCATTTAATATTTAACCATGACTAAATATCAGCCATACATTTAATATAATTTATTGATGTTAGTACAACCAGTACCGGCATGAAAGGTGTGCGGAAAGTGCAATGGCACAGGGCCTCGCACTTTTGGATCATCTCTTAGGTCTCACGCTTCTATTTTGTAGTATAATAAAATTTAACTAAATAGTATAAAACGTTATATAATAAATTTTTTGTAACTCATGTAAATCATATAAATTATATAAATCGCCTGTAATGAATATTATGCCCAGGAAATGTTTTTTATTATTTGATAAGTGATTTTATTTTTGTTTAAACACGGTTGACGACGCCAATTTTATATACGTACCGGCAACCTGCGTCCGGTTGATACCAATTAAATAGTTCATAGCAGTATTAACTACATTTGATTCTCCCATAATGTTTGAACCCGGTACAGAATATGGCGTATTGAAACATAAATATAAGAGCACAAATTTCCCCATGCAAAGAAAAATTTATTGACCTAGATGAAGCCATAAAAAATATTAAAGATAGGATAATAACTTTACGTGAAGTAGCAGGACAAGGAATAGCTGGCTATTAAGGCTTCAATTGATGCAACTGCAAAACTGGTTTTGGCACTAAAAAATGTGCTTGCAATGCAGCAGAAATGTTGTGCAGTATAAAATACCATGGTAACCAAAACTGTATAAGTAAATAATTTTTAATATACACCTATTTTATTCATTTAAATTAACCTAACCTTTCATTAAATTAAGTACCTAAAATAAAAAATGAAACACCCATCAACAATAAACAATTTTTAAATGTTACTTATAGTAAATCAACCCCAATGTATTATTTGAAATTTATCATAATTTACCTCCAGTCTTGGTAAATGACGTCAATGACCGGTGAATGATGTACATTTGAGTTTAAAATGTGGTTCTTTACAACATTTATCTACAAAATCAAATCATTTTGGTAAATTATGTCATTTACCGGGAAATGACGTATTTCACCTTAACATATATATGTATATATATTAGTGAGGGGTCGAACTGATCGAATGTCAAATCGAACCGAACTCAAAATTAAAGGAAATCGAATCGAATTATATACCATTTAGGTATATTCGAAATTTGAACTTGAAAATATTCTTAATCAAATAATCTAAAATTAATTTTCTATACTTTATAGTTTATAGTAAGTATCATAGTAGTATTAATTATTTTTTTTTTATATTATTACGATTAGGTATGATAAAATAAAATAATTCCATGTTGAAGCATGTGATTATTTTTGTAAATATCTATAGGTAATATTATCACAGATTATTTTTTATATAATGTGCGATAATAAATATTTTATAGTAAATATTTTTATGATAATAAAAACCACAAATTTATTTTTGGGAAAGTGAAAAGGAAAAATATGAATGTTGTTTGTAACCAAGGGCGTAACTAGGGGGTGGAAGACGGGGATTCATCCCTGGGCGTATAATTTTAGAAGGTGTAATTTTTGTAATTATTAATAACTAATTTGATATTTTAAAAAAATGTTGGTGGGTGAGATTAATATTTTTTTGTTTTGGGGATGTGTGATTCAAAAAAATTTAGGAATTGCTATTATAGTACATATATGTACACCATAACTACATGAATTAATACATCAAAGTCAGAGATGGTTTCCAGTAGCAAATTGGAAACCAAATGTGCATTTTAAAGATTGAATTTAGAAAATCTCCAATAGTTTTCAAAAGCGTCAGGAAAAATCCTAAAAAAGCAACAGAAAAACAGGAATTTTTATTCAAACCCAGTTTTCGACAAAAATGATTATTTTATTTTACAATAACTCAAAAAATAATAAGTTTAAAAACATAAAATTTTCACCAAATATTTATATTAGTGTTGTCTATAGACAGTCAAATTTTCAAAGCATTTTGACTTTTTTCGAGCTATTTATTGACAATTTAAGTTATGGATTTTTTTTTAAAATATCGATTAAACATTTGGCCGCTCAAAAAATCTTGAAAATTTAATACAGAGTGCCTTATAAGTTTTCCTTATCGGATATAAAAAAAAAACAAAAAGTGTAAGTCACAATTGTATTTTTACAAGTACATAGAGTTTAAATTTTTACGAAATATGTAAAATTCGCGAAAATATGCAAGTGATAGTCATGCAAATTCATGCTAATTAAGTGCTAAACGATGGCGTAGTTGAATTTTAGGAAATCGTAAAATTTCGATTTTGGGCGGTGCTGGCGAAACGCGCAAATTCTTGGGTACGTTATTGCACGGAAACAACGATCGAGAGAATTTCGGTGATAGTCGTGCAAATTCATGCTAATTGCGTGCTAAACGATGGCATAGTTGAATTTTAGGAAATCACAAAATTTCGATTTTGGGCGGTGCTGGCGAAACGCGCAAATTCTTGGATACGTTATTGCACGGAAACAACGATCGAGCGAATTTCGGTGATAGTCGTGCAAATTCATGCTAATTGTGTGCTAAATAATGGATATGAAAAAATATATGAAATTCCATTTTTGCGATTGGGCGGTGCTAGCGAAACGTTTCGCCAGCACCGCCCGTTAATTTTTGCGATTCTGGAGAAATGGATGACATGCAAATTGCGAAATTGGTCATGCAAATTCATGCTAATTACGTGCTAATTATTGATAGAAAAAAAAATCAAATTTTCCTAATGGGCGGTGCTGGCGTAACGCACGTGAATACTTACACGAAAACAAATACATATATGTACAGTATATATACGTAGTTTGTTATATTATTGTAATAAATAGTTACATATAAGAACAATTTACCACTCTTTATATCTGAGATTCTAAAATCCTGTTTTAATTTATTTATAAATACTTTTTTTATAGGCCATGAAACATTTTCTTGTTCCCCTTTTACAATCGAATCAATCTGTTATTGAATCTGTTACTTCCAAAAAAATTCGTAAATCTTCTACTTCAATAGGTGTCATTGATCGCGATGTTCAAAACAATATTTTTGATATTAGTCAAAACGTTGAAAAAGGGCCAAATCCACCCAACATTACGTTTCCAAGACGAAACATCGGCGGAAAACAGAGATCATTTAATATTTCGTAGTATTCAAAATACGAATGTCTAGAATATTCTAAAATGAGAGATTCATTAAATAAAATCATAATTTTACTGTATTTTCTTTTGTGGTTAAGTTTATGGGCCCGCCCAAAAAAATATTCCTGGATCTGCGCCTGCATAAAACAATTATAGAACTAAGACAAATGAGAGAAAAAAATATATATAATATAGATATATAAAATTGAAACTATTAAATGGTAGAACCGGCCTCCTGAATAAAAAAAATAATAATTAAAACAACCTGTTCGGAATTGGATTTTAAAATAGAAGAAAGATCAAATTGAACATTTAAGGAATTAAGAGAGGAAATTAGATTAATACGTTTTATGGAGAGTGAGGGACAATAAAAAAGAATATGAGAAAGGTCGCAAATGTTTTCCTTAGTATGGAGCGTACAAAAAGGGAAATCATTCAGATTTAATTTGTAAACGTGAGAGAGTAAAAGATAATGCCCTATACGTAGACGACTGAAATTTATAATGTAAGATCTCGGTAGTGATATATTTCTGAACCAAATATCATTGGCAATATTAGGCACAATAGATTTAAGTCTAGTTGCAAAGTTAGCAGGTATATTATTCCAATATAACGACCAAAGATTGAAAACATGACGTCTTAAAAATGGAGTA